ACCTATAATAATTTGTTGTTGAATTTAAATTATATCTTTACACCCTATAATAATATAATTGACATATTAATGTAATGTTAATGAAAGTGTAATAGAATTTCCTGTTAATAATATTTTCATTTATCTTTAACTAACTATTTTAATATTATTTAAGTTCAATCAACTCACAGCTTATTTAATTTAATTAAAGTTCCATTCATGACTTATATTATTGTATTTATTTGATTTTTTAAATACTGGAATGAATATTTTGAATAAAATATGTTGATATTTTGAATATACTTTTTATAATTTTATTTTACCTAAGCCGCCTTGTAATAAGAAATTTATGATTATCAATAGTATTTTCCTATTATTAATTATATACCATACAATATTTTGGTAATAGTTTAAATATATTATTTTAAATTAAAAAAGTTCTTAATTTATGCTACAATAAAATAATAAATGATATAATATTTTTAATGAATGGATGCGAATTTAATATAAAGATTCATATTAGAAGATTTCAAGTATTCAATTTAAATAATGATGTAATTAGAAGTTAGGTATTTAAAATACGGGTCAACTTAAATTACATTGATAATATTTTCATTTTATCTTAATTATGTAATTAATAAATTGTAGATGTTTATTTTTACATATGATTGTGTAAAAATTATATTAGATTACTATTAAGGTTAACTTATTTTTACTAAGACTATTATAACGTAAGACATTAAATGATACTACTTATGTTAATGAAGTGATACTCCATAAATTAAAAAATTGTCATTGAGATGTATATAGGATATATTGATTGAATTCATTGAATACGAGTACTATATAACCATTAAAGAATTCTATGATACTCCTTCTTCATGAAATTTTACTATAATCTCAAGGGGATTCTAATCATTTAAATTGAAATTGTACATAGTTTGACCACTTAAACTTAGGTGAGAGTTTTATTAAATAGGATTAAAGCCTTTAGAAACAAAAAACTGAGGTTATTTTAAAAATAAATCTATCTTCAAAACATTTGTATAGGTATTTTTCTAATCTTACTAGTCAATCTTCTTGTTAAATCCTAGTATACCATTATGATAAATTTTTAATACTAGCAAATATAAATTTTATTCTTTGATATTACATATAAAAGTTCATTGCTATATTTTACTAAATTCTATTAAATTTTTTTATTGAAAAAAAAACAATGATATACTTTTTTAGTATAATAAGAAATAACTTATGATTGTTTTAGGCATCTCAACTCATTTATTTTTCTTATTCATTTATATATACAGGTATTTCGATATTTAGTAAATTATTGTTTACATGATAATTAATTAGTGTTCTTGCAAACAATTTATATATATTAACATGTTATAAAATAATCAATACAGCTCATTTCCTCTATTTATATTTTAATTTATTTTAAATAATATTGAGTTCTTAATTTAATATATATGTAAAATGAATTATAATTATTTATATATTTATTCCGAAGTTTTCAGGAGGTTCAAATTTTAGAATTATAGTAATAGCATGGAATAAGAGTATTTAATTATTGAAAATTATTTTATAAAGATTTTCTAAGAATACATTAATTGCTCAAATATTCAGTTGGAATTTTTCCTACTAAAGTTACTGATATCGAAGTCAAAAACACTTCTAATACTTTCCTCACCTACGAAGGTGTGGTGGAGTTTGGTGGTATGGATTTACAAATTCCCTTCTAACCCTATTTCTAATCAAGACAATGTTCTAGTCTGATGGCTAGTTTTCCAGACATTGAACAATATATCATAATAGACTTCTCACGGTCTGAATATTCTCTCTTGGAACATCTAGGGACTATTCTTAGGAAAATATCAAGTTCTTTAAAACATTCATAGTATCCTTAAGGAAGCACAATTTAGTAAGAATATGGATGTTCATTTCATTAAATCCAAATGATACAAAAAAAGAAACAGAAAGAATCCATTAATGAAATTAGTAATTTCGAAAATTCGGTTTTAAGATATAGAAATAAAAATATTTTTATTGTTAATGTCATATTTAAAAGATTCTAATTTCTCTTAGTGAATATACACACTTAACTACTTCAACTAAATTGAAAAGTAACATTGGAGAAATTCTAATCTTCTGCTGCCAATGTTGGATGATATATTAACTACTAAATGAGAAAAACACAAATCTATAATATGATTTGGTGACACTAGAAGACACTAAGATGGATCAAAAACTAGATAGATTGATAAACTGATGATCAATAGAAATATAGAATTGAAAAATGATTTTATAGAATTTATTCTAAAAAAGTCTCAGATCATAAACCAATTTCTTAAAATTAATAAGAAGATTTATTTCAAAATCTGTAATCAACTCTAAAGCCCTGACTTAATACATAGATACTCTTGTTGAATAAACAAAAGATATGTATAAATACAGAGACGATAAAATGATTATCAATAAAAATCTTACAGATGCTATATAAACTTGTAAATCACTATTGTTTTCTAATTAATCAAAGGAATTCTATGATATTGTTTCTTAATCCAGAAATTTAAAACCTTTCAAAAAAAGAAGAATCTATCAGAATTTGATTAAAACTGAAGATGTAAACTTAATTTCTTGTCTTAAATAAATACTATCCATATTTATATAAGACCTTCTTAAAATTTTAAAAGATAACTGATTCCTCAATGCCTTGATATTCCTTAAATTTTTAAGTTTCCATAGATAGTAGGTAAAATAAGCAGTTGGCTTAGATCAAGAAAGCTGTATCTTATTATTTAGTTGATTTGTCTAAACTTACAAATTATTTAGATACTAATGGGGCTTTTTGGATAAGGTTTGATGAGCACGCTTAAGTCTAATATATATTGATTAAGAGGCTAGTTCCTTTGAATTATATGTACCCATAGATCCAAATAAGGGGCTAATTTAGACCTATTATGATCATAAGCCATTTCATCAAATTATTCTAAGCTTAATATGTAAAAAGATTTAAATAGATTTGTAATTCTAAAATAAATCCTTCTAAAATTGGCTTTCTATGCTACCTTGCCTGCTCATAATCCTGCTCATATCAATCTATCAGATTATCGAAGAATAAAAGACTAAAACAAATGGCCTTTATAAAGGTAGGGTCTCTATCTTTTTGGGCTTATCTAATTACTATAGCATGGTTAGAAGAGAAAAAATTTTCAAATATCTCAGAAAATCAAGATTGAATTAATATGCAATAGAATTCTAAATAACTAGAGATAACCTAAATTTCAACTATTCTTGAAAGCCACTAAAGTCTATGCTGATGATGTTTCAATAACTAACTTTATTAGTTGTGCTGTTTAAGTAGCAGAATAATTCTTGAATCTTACTGAAAAATATGGTTTTAAAGTAGACCTAAAAAAATCCAATTACCTGTATACTCCCTTTAAGACTAATGACATAATTATGGCTTTCCCCATATTAAACCTTCTTTTGATGAAGCCGCTCCTCTAATAAAGAATTATGAAAAGAAAGAAATTGAGATTACTATAGAGGGGTTAGATTAAAAGGATCTTTCGTTTAGCCATATTTACTTCTAATAATATTATTTATGAGTTATGGAAAATATTTGGTCTGTAACTGTCTGAATAGATGACACAAATCTATGAGTAAATGTGTAGACAATAAACTCACAAAAAACAAGGAGAAATATTCTAAAGTTAATTGGATTAAAAAATCTAAATAAAGTAATTGAAAAGATCAGGCTGCTGAAGCATATTTAATAAGTGAAGAAGACAATAATATAATTCAATAATTTGGATTTTCCCTAAGTTTTTAAATTAAATTAAATACTTACATATGTATGGATACCTTGAAAGAAATATACATAGTTGGAAAACCTAAATGTTTATAATTTAAATTAAAATAATGTGAATTATCCATTTAAGTATTATTTTATTTGATTAATTTCCTTACTTATTCTTTTTCAAATCTGAAATTCTAAAATGAAATACTTATATATATCTAATTTACTAATAAATTTAATCAAGTTAAATATAATGAGAGAACCATAAACAAATATTGTTATTATAAACAATTTGATTTAATAAAATAAGTAATTATAATAATAAAGAGGAATTAGATTACAACATTTATGTTTTAGATTCAAATTATAATAATTCACAATTCAAATAATTATTAAACAATTAAATTTCCCCTTTTATCATTGAACATGGTGTATTTAACAATGATTTGAATTTAATCAAATTTAAGAAATTGATATATTATAGGGATGGGAAACAATTATATTTTTAAACATAATCATAATTAAGTAAAAATAGTAAATCATTATTGATTATAATACTCATAGCTCTTATGATAAATATATCATAATAAATTATTTTAAATTCATATTTCAATTTATTTTCAGTTTTCTTTTTTAGTATTCATACAGAAGGCAAAAGGCAAAAACTTTATTGAATTTCATTTCATCATTATGATTCAATTTTTGAACTACATTTAAGAAGAATATATAAAATCATAATTTTGGACTAATCTATATATATATTTAAAATTAAAATACAAGAAATATTTTCCCTTAATCTAAATTTGTTAAGGAAAATTAATTAGAATTTATATTTTATATCTTAAACTGAAGTAATAAACACTATTATGACTATTAAGAGAAAGTAATACATCATTAATAAAATTATTATATCAGCAGCTTACTTTTTATAGTTAGTAAAGTATCTAATTATTTGTTTTTTTAATTATTAGGAGGTTGTTAATAATTAAATTATCAACAATCATGTTCTGATAAGAGTTAAACAAATTTTTTTCTTAAAATGTTAGATTTAACAAGAAAACATAAATTAACTGCTTAAGTGATTCTTTAATATTATATGACAATACATATAATTAATTTAATTTAAATTTAATTAATAATGTTGTATTTCTATTATTATTAGTTTAAATAGGAGAATAATTTTAGTGATTTTAATTATTATTAATATTTTATTAAAATAATGGAATCATCATCAAATGATATATCTCGTTGTATAGATCACAATGAATAAGTAGTCTTTATTGCAAGATCTAAATAAGATTAATAGATAATAGAACTTTGTCATAAATGTGTTGTTGATAAAAAGAAAGATTTGGTGTTAATTGATGATGCCAAAAAATATATTAAAGAAACAAAATCTGGAATAATGGAAGAAAAAGAGTCACTTAATAAATAGAATATAGGAATATTAAATGATATAAAAGAAAACCTGGGAAATCTCGCATTGAACTTCAATATGTTAATTGATAAAATTAAGGAAAATATAGAGTCTGGAATTAAGATTATAGAAGCATCTTCAATCAAATTCTAGAAAGTGTTAAGTGATATTTCATTTGATCAAATAAAGAATGTCAAAATAGATAGAAATTTGATAATAGGTTAATAAATTAATTATAAGGAATTATAATAATCACTTTTAAGTTAAATAGGTAATCTATTTAATAATTAATTGTTGTAAAAGTGTTAAGAATTAATATAAAATTTAAATTCTGGTGAATAGAGTGAAACATTAAATTAACTATTTAATATAGGATCTTTTATTGATTAATAGACATAGATGAAAACAGATTGGATATGTGATAAACATGAACAAGAAATAGTTTTTGTTGATTTATCTTAATAAAAAAGTATTTAAAATAGATTAGCATGTCTTGAATGTGTTCCTGAATATGTTATATAATACACCAATTTAGGATAATTACAAAAATAGTGGTAGAAGTATACTGAATAGGCTTTGACATTCTTTAATGTTTATTAAAACAATACTTCAAATAAATAAGAATAAGTAAAACTTTAATTGAAAGAGTTCTAAGAAGTAATTTTAAAGCTATTTGAATCATTAATTGAATCAATTTAAAACAAATCTTCATTAGAAAATGATGATTTAGAATATCATCATAAGTTACTTTAAAAAACATGGCAAACATTAAGTAAAGAAGATCTAATTATTATTGTTGATCTTTTAAGTTCATAAAATAGATTAGCTCTAGTAAATCATATGATAGAATAAGAATTTTAATCCAAAGATCAAGCTATTGATTCAATCATTTGTTCTCAAATGCATCAACTCTAAAATTTAATAAACTCTACTTTTTCATAAAATATAACATTCACTGGAAATTAAAAGCCTAATAAAAATAAGATTGATGTTGAATCATCAACTTAATAATCCTTCTCCTTATAATCTTAAATTGTCACTATTTAATTATAACTGAATTAGTAAATTATTAAACCTTAAATTTTCAAGCCATTTACTTATGAACTAGTCTCCTAAATTTCAGAAAAGACTTTGTGTAGAGCATTTGCATTTAATAATGACTCATCAATTTTAATTACTGGATAAGATTGTGGATCAATAAAGATCTTTGGATTTAATGCAGGATAATTAAATGAAATTTAATTACTTTAAGAGCATTCAAGTTATATTTAATGTTTATATTTCATGTAAAAGTCTTCTTCTTTTTTATCTGCTGGGGATGATAAGTAGATAATAATTTGGAAGGTTAATAATTAGAAATAATGGTAGAGTTATCAAAAATTAGAAGGTCATAGTGGTGCAATCAATTGTTTAATAATGAACAATTAAGAAGATTATATCATATCTGGTAGTAATGATAAAACTATTAAGTTTTGGGCTTAAGAGAATTAATAATGGAAATGCAATTAGACATTATCAGATCATACAGGTAATGTTAGATGTTTATCATTGAATATATCATAGAATTAGTTGATATCATGTGGAAATGATAAATTATTATTAATAATCTCACAAGATAATAATAAAAGGTGGAATACAATCTAAAAGATTTCTGTTTAAAAATATGGATATAGTTTATGTTTCATAACTGATTATATGTTTACATTATAACTTAATAAATTAAATATGATGCATATTTATGAATTAAATAAAACAAATTAATAATTTATTAAAATGGAATAAGAGGTAAGCATTAAGTCAGATGCTGATTGTTCAGCAGTTTTCCCTTAAAAGTTCATAAAAGAAAAATAAATTTTACTTAATAAAAACGGAAAAAATATAAATTTAATTAGGCTTCATGTTAACGGTTTATTTAAAACAGAATAATCTATTGAGAATAGTAATTGTTGTGGACTCTTTGGTACTATAACAAAAGATGGGAACTATTTAGTCACATATGAGAGTTAGAGCAATGAGATAAAAGTAAGAAAATATAAAGAAAATTGATTTATGTAAATCTAAGTTTCAGTATTTTTATATTATGAAACATTTTATGAATTGTAAAATTGAATATATTTAAGATTTTTTGGATTTGATGTAGAAGTATTAATTTGTCATCAATTTCACAATATTATTATATTAATTAAATATATTATAAGTAGTTGTACAATCCACAAAGGGATTGGTTTAAGTATTTATGTAAATATAGAATAAATATTAATAAGTTAAATTCATATAAATAAATTCATATTTATATATTATTACGATAGAATATTTAAGTGAAATTTAAATGTATTGATTTTACTTCGTCATATACAATAATACATGATTTTTATTTTTATTTTCATCTTTAAATCTTATTGATTATGAATTTAATATCTAAATCCAATATTTATCAATTTTTATTCAATATATTCAGTTGTAAAGGAATCAGGATTGAATTCTTTTATTAATCTTACAATTATATTTAAAAGCACTAATAGAAGAGGAGTTTATTAAATATTATTGTAAATATATGGCTTTAAATATTATTCTTAGATATTTTCAATTTAATCTATGGCTAATGTATAAATTAAATTAATAGTTTGACTAATAATTAATGTATATTTTCTAACTTTTAACAATGGTTTCAAAAATTTACAAATTTCTGTTTTTAAACACCTTAAATTTGATCCATTTTATAACGGTCTCAAATATATCTCCTTAAGTGTTAGATATATAAAAAAGAATTTCCAATTAACAATATTATTTTTCAACAAATTTTCCATATCTCAACTTTTCATGGAAGAAAACCATTTTTTATGATTGTTTTTTAAGCATCTCACAACTAGAATATATAAGTTATAGTTTTTTGAAATTTTTATTAATGAAATGAATTGATATATCAAACTTTAAATAATAAATTAATTTAAATATCAATGTAAATTCAAGATCAGAATTTCTTTTATATTATTCATAGTATTGGTGAAGGCAAGAAAACTATTATTGTTTAAATTAATTTATTATATAAATTTAGAAAATATTATAATTTATAATTTTTTGGACTTAATTATAACTTAAACTTTAATAGTAATGTATGATTAAGTTATTTTCAAAAGAACATAATCATTTGGTAAAATTTATCATTTACACTTAGAATCAATTTTGTTGGGTCTTAAAATACTAATATCATTTTTTATAGCCCAATTTCATATGATATGATATTTACTATAACCTTCTATTAAAACATATAAAATAAATTTTATCTATTTATTGTATTATTTTTAATTGAAATAAGAAGAACAATAAATATTCATTATCTAAATTTTTACTTTCTAAAGCATTATTGAAAATGATTAAAAATATTTCTTTAATTGAAAATTATAATAAATAGAAGATTTATATAGAATAAATAATACTATTATTGTTTAATTAGTATTGTCTTATTATTTGCAAAAAATAGATGCTAAAGTATATTTAATTCATTGCGAGCAATTTTTAATAATTTCTATTTTTGGGATTCAACTAATATTATTATATATTTTTACTTGTGTATTTCAATAATTGACTCATCCAATTTTTTATGTTTATTAAGTTAATATTAAAATTTGCAAATTAAATAAATTTTAATATTTATTTGATTTTATTTGGCAGTGCTGTTTCAGTAGTGACACCAATGGGAACCTTTTGAAAATATTGATAATGCTCTTAATTAAGAATCATGGGGCAGTTTCCAAAATGAATTATCTAAATGAAGAGGGACTCATACTGCTTGGAAATATAATTTACAAATAATTTTAATAAATTTAGATATAAATGTTTGGTCGGTTATGCATAATAAAAGTATGAAGATTAAATAGAATTAGTTACTTCAGTTATATAAAATAATGGTCTAGGCCAAGGTATAACCATAAGGTTAATTACATGACTTACTTAGGAAAGCACTAGTGATAATTTCAAAACTAAAATTCTTCATCTATTATTTCAGAGTCTCTTGACTTATTCATGACTATAGGTTTTAGTTACCATGGCTTTTCTATTTGAGGTGATCAGCCCTAACAGATGTATTTCCTTTTCAAGGTATGATTCTAATATATGGTTTTCCCTTCATATAATTGAAAGAATCTTTTGAAAATTCTTTTATAAGGATCTGGTTCATATGGATGCAGGATGATATCTAATTATTCTATTGTTTTCTCCATTTAATTAAATATTATATGCAATTTTTCATTAGCCTTCTTCATCCATATACTATTCCCATTTGAATTACTCTCAAGTCTATAACTAAATTTCATGATGTTTTCATTTTTAATATGAATCATGTTATGTATTTGACTTTTCCTTTTTTAATTACCCAATTCTAGGTAGTTAATAATTTTTCCTTAACCAATACACAAAAATATATTAAAATTAAAAATGGCTTCTTTTTGTAAAAAATAGAAATTAGGTGAGTTTTATAATATTCATAAATTCTCCTTCATCCAACTAAGATTTGGAATACACTTTAACAAAAGCATAGATTTTGATACCGAATAACTTGAGATTATATTTCTTATTAAATACAATTCAGAAAACCTAAGAGGATAGCATGAAGAATGATTATACATTTTCTTTTATATAACCTTAATTAAATCTAATTATTAAATTATTAATGATAAGTTAAGATCTGATAAGAATTAAATCATATTCATTATAATAATACAATTAATATCACTTCTGTAAATTTTAATGAAATGAAGCAATTAGTAATCTATAAAATTTACACAAAAATAATAAATATTAATAAAATAATAAACCCTAAAATAAAATTTATCTAATCAAGACTAAGAAATAAGAAGAAAATTAAAAATGGGATAAAAAACTATGTTAGACATTCTATTTAGCTCATAAAGATCTTATTTAAATTTGTTAAAGAGTAATTTTTGAGGAAAGAAGTGTGCTTTAGTTTGAGATTGTAAATGAGGTTTATATAGTAATTTATAATTGATTTAAAAATAATTTTTATCCAAAGTTCATGATTCTATTGCAGTAGATATTCTGTCTTATTGAATAATAAATTTTTGAACAGATTAATATTTCTTAATTATTGTTAAAGTAATAAAGTATATACATATACAATTCAGATTGTTTTTTTCTTCTGAAAAAATTACTATTTAAAATTTAGATCTTAATATACAATAAATTTAATGCCATTTCTAGTTTATTGTTTGAAAGTATGCGCTGAAATTCAAATTTAAATAAAATAGGAGATAATTAATGTAAATTTAAGAGGATAAGAAAAAGAATCAAAAAACAAATATTAAAAAATTAAGAGTGATTAATGATATTTTAGGTATCACTCATTTAAGTAATAAAATTAAAGAATCTCAATAATCATTTGGTTTATTTAAAGCTTTGATTTTATTAAGATCAACACAATAGATTCATAATAAATTATTTCTTTGGATTAATCCTTTTTTGTATAACATATAATATTACTTATAAAATACATAACTAAAATGACAATTAATATTATTAAAAAAACTAGAAATCATGATATAAATATTATTTTATCAATAAATTTAACTATTCCATAAAAATTTCATACTTGTTAGAGTAGGGTTTCATTCTAGAAAAATCAAAGAAGAAGACTCTTAAATAATTATTTATTATGCAAACCAGCACTGTTTGAAAATAAATGGATATTTAAGGGTTTATATATCAGTTTGATTAATTTTTTCCATAAAATTTAAATTAATATACATTATGCTCTATTAAATGCTTGTTGTGCTATTTCCAATTTTTTATGGATAGATTCCGTACTAAGAAAACTTTATTAATGATAGTTTTGTAGATACTGATGGGATTCTGAATATGCATAATTATATGTTGATAATCAATTAATATGGAATTATTCTCATTAATCAGTTATTGGTAAAATTAATCTTTGTGGTGAGAAGTTTGATGAGAAAATATTAGATTAGGAAATTACTTTGCCTCATAGATAATAAATTTTAGAATTGTAATTTACAACTACTAAGACAAATTCACTTAAAAAATTATCATTTGGTATAAGAGATATTGAAATATTTATATGTAAATATATTAATAATTTAAGTATGTCCATATGGTTTTCCTTTTGATTTTGTTTGTGAAGGAATTTGTGGAAATGGAGAGATAGATAAAGCTGAACAATGTGATGATGGAAATATTTATCCATTTGATGGATGTTTTAATTGTTAGTATTCATGTGTTGAAGGTTGTTCTAATTGTATCTAGGGCATTTGTTTTGAATGTGAAAAAGGATGGACATTCTATGAATTTACATGTACTGAGGATTTCAATATAAATACTGAAGATCAAAATCATATTGAATAGTAGTAATAATGTTTAAACAATTGTAAATTATGTATAAATAGGATGTGTTAAGAATGTGATATTGGATTCTATTTAATAAACAATAAATGTCAAACTATTTGTGGAGATGGAATAAGGGTTGGAGATGAAGTGTGTGAATTAGAGTAATAGGGTTGTCAAAATTGTTAATTTATTTGCTCTAAGAATTGTGATGTTTGCATTGAAGGTGAATGTCATTAATGTATTATTGGATATACATTTGATTATATTGAGCAATATTATTAACCTATTTGTGGAAATGGTGTTGTATCTAATGATGAAGAATGTGATGATTTTAATAAAGAAAATGGTGATGGATGTTCTAGTTAATGTAAAATTGAATAGAATTATATTTGCAAGAATTATCAAAACTCATTTTCAGAATGTAATTATGAAAAATATCCTTCATTTTAGCTTTCATTAAAAAATTCATATGATCAATATTAATACGTATCTATTTATTTTGATTAAATGGTTAAAAAAAAGAGTTAGAATGTTTTTTCAACAATGATAAGTATGCGTTTAATTGGACCAAATGAAATATATTATGATTTAAATTTAATTCCTATTCAAGAACCCTTTGAATTAGTTTCAACTGCAGAATATTTAGTAGAAATTGTAATAAATACTACTCTGTCTTAATCACCTATTTTAGAAGTAATTCTAGAAGATTAACTATTTAATTATAATGATGCTCCAATTCTTAATCAAATTAATTAAATTAAACTTAATCTCCCATAATACCTTGATGATCATTAAAAATAGAATGCAGTTTACCTCTAAGAAGTAGCTAAATACACAATCATTTCAATGGGAGGATCATCTGTGCTAATATTGATACTTTGTAGCTCTTTATTAGTTTAAGAAACACTTGAAATGCTTCAATAGTAATCCTACCTTAGATTTATTAATGTAGTTTTTCCTCTCAATTTATTTATTTATTTTGAATCAAGTAATTTAATATCAATGTAACCTATTTTGGAAGAAATTAAAATTAATAAAGTATTAACATTATTTATGAATGATTAATATTTGGAATCTTAAGGGAAATTATTATTCTATGAAGTAAATGCAGATATCTTATGTAATATACAAACTTAAGTATTCCTGATTATTATACTTATGATTACCTATATTTCAAATTATTTAGTTATTAAACTATTAAGGAAATTAAAATAGTAAAAGTTATTTTATTTTGGTTCAAAAATTGCAAAATATTTAATCAAAATCTTGAAGTCCATGTAGAAATTTAAAAGAAACTTTAAAACTTAAGCATTTTCTGACTTTTTGAACGCTAATAGTTGGGATCTTCTTTTTATGTCCTTTCTCTAAATTTAGTCAAGAACAAATAACATTGTTTCTAAGTTAATTGCATATCTAATTTTGTATATCAGTATCTTTCATTCATCCACAATGTTTAGTAGAATAAGTAATCCAAAAATAAGGAGTCATAAATAATTATGGATTTCAAAGTCAAATTAAATCAAGTTATTGAAAAAGCTTTATTTATTTGCGTATTAGTGATGGTACAATAAAATCAAAAACTATAAATTATGTTATTAACTTTTGTATGCTAATTCTATTTAATTTATCTTTTCATTATGAAACCTTTTTATAATAATATAGATTAAATTAATACTATGGCACTGGAAATAAGTTCATTTATATTTTGTTTTTCATCAGCCTTATATTGGGATGATTTTAAAGATAAATTGAATTAGAGCATTAAAATTTAATTTGCATGGTTTTAAATAGCAATGCTATTATCATGCTTGTTTATTAATATCGTATCATAATTATGTACAATATGTGTAGAACTGAAACCAATAATAGTGAAAAAGTTTTATAAATATTATCCCTAATAAAATCAAATGCCAATGAAAACTAATCCGTTTCTAATTCCTTGAGAATTTTTGTGATATTTGTGTAATTATATAAATATCTCAACTTATACAATAAAAGGAATAAGAATTTAAATTCAACATTCATTTTATTAATAAATGATTTCATAGCTTTATTATCAAATTTAATATAAGCGCTGTCTTTGACTTAATTATTTTGAAATTCTTTTTCCTTTTTACAATAATGTATTTTAATTATTCAATCTATATTCTTATTGATCTCTCTAAATTTCATTATTACACATTATCATTATAATTAAAATTATTTATAATTAGTAAAATTAATTAATTGAGATTTGTTAAATTAAGTAAGAAAATTCTCTATTTATTTTGAAGATAATTGCAAATTTAAATTAAAATATGTATACTTTGTTTTTACTTAGAATCATAAAATTGTTGTCATTATAAATATGATATGAACTTCTTTAGATTTAGTAACCTTCATTTTAATAAAAACAAATAACATAAATTTTAATAATAAGTTATTAATTAATACAAATATTTTCAGAATTCATTAAAATAGCTAGCTAAGTTTTTTCTTAATAAAAACTACCGGGATATCAAATTTAGAATAGTTATAATTGACTTTCATTTATTAACCTTAATTGCTTATTAGTTATGTCTAAACTAATTCATAAACAACATACATAAATAAGAATTATTTTTACTTCTCTTATCTTTCATTATCATATCATCGAAAGAATTTGAATTTATTTGATTTTTTAATTACAAAAGTGTTTTAAATTGATTAATAGCTTATTAATGAATTAATTAGTATTTTAATTTTAAAAAATAATCTGTAATGAATAGAATTTTTGTTAATAAATTCAACTTATTTCGAAGTGACTATAATATTATAATAATGAATAAGAATAAATTATATGAACCTAAGATTGGTAAAAAGGAATAAAAACTTAAATAAATCAAAAAAGAGTACATTAAATATTTTGTTTTTTATGACTTAACAAAAAAAAGTATTGATACCTTTGAAATTGACAAAATATTCATTCAAGATGCATAGTGTAATTAGAATTAATATATTCTAGTGAATATAGAATAATCCAATAGAACTGGAATAGTTTTTTCAATTAATGAAAATGCGACTATAAGTAAAATAGTTGTATAATTAGGAGAAGTTAAATTTTATGGTGTAATAAAGGAAAAGGATAATGCTAAATAAGAGTATAAAAATAATGCCATATAATGAATAGGATATGAGATCTTATCAAATAAAAAGAATGAAAATAGGATGGCTTGCACAAAATAAGCAATTAAAATTATTTTTGAAAATATATAACCTTTAGAGAGTTTTCTTAATATATTGGGAAATTCGATATTAAATAAATTATATACCTGTAATCCTGATATTTATGAACCAATGAAATAATTTACATTACTTTTTTCTACAGATGAAAACAATCACCATAATATTAAAACAATTGTACTACTACCTTAACCTTCATTCTAAAATTTCATGAGGTTTCTTTAGATGATGCTTATTTACAATATTTAGTTGGTTTAAATATGGCTGAAAATCAAGTAATGAAAAGAGGCAATTACTTATTTAATATGTTCTATGAGTGAATCAAGAATCAGAAAAGCTAAATTATCATTAATTATGCTTTTAAAAAATTTGACTTAAGATTCTAAGTATAAAATAATATCATTTGTTTTTGTAGATGATTTATATTAATAATTAAATTTTTTTGTGAAATAATTCATAAACTACATTAGAAACAGCAATTAAGCATGTTTAATAAATGGATGCTGACATGGGAGGAACTTTAATAATTAATCCATTAAAGGAGATGGAATATACTAAAATTTAAGGAGTCCCAAAAGAACTACTTTGAATTTATTCTTGCTTACTGATGGAGAGTATGAAGCTGATTCTCTTATAATATAATTAAGAGTAGCATAAACTAGAATCTACACTTTAAGAATTGGCCAAGGATGTAGTTAATATTTTATAAGAAGTTTAGCTGAAGTGGAAATCGTAAATATCATATTGCTATGATAGAGAGGATATTGATGAGAATGTAATTGCCTTATTAATAGATACATCATTAACTCCATATATATACAAGCATTTAATTTAGAATCTAATATAAATAATATAGCATAGGTAAATTCTTTTTTCAATTTAATTCCTATAAGAAAATCTAGAGTTTAAGATTAATTTTTATTATCCTTAAAATGAAAAATAAATATAATATTCAGTAAAATTAAACTGAAATTCATCTTAAAATAATGAATATTTTCATTATTCGGCTGCCTATTAATTTATTACTTATTTTGAGAACTCAATAAAAAATGGTTAATAATATGTGAATTTTATTAGAAATACTGAAAATAAACTATAAATAAGTAAGGTCTAATCTACTTATAAATAAATAATAAGTAGTTCAAATTAAACTAAATGGAATTGTAACTTTAAAAAAATTATAAAGACCAAAGTTCAGCAGGATATTGTGAGGAGTTGATTCTTAAAAAATTATATCAGATCCAGCACATATTCTTTTCTCCTCACAATAATAACAATATGATCTCTAAAATCAACTTCTGTTATAAAAGTAAAAGTAAATATATCAAAATATAGATAAGACATATAATAATAAACTTTCCTATGAATAGTTGATCAAATTTGCATAAGCAGATGGTAGTTTTAATACTAATAAAGATATTAATTCTATAATCAATTTAAAGATCCTAATAGATCATTAATTTCTAAAAGAAGATGTTTGATTTACCTTCCTTATTTTATTATATTTTGAAAATAATTTTAATCAATTAAACAAATCAGTCCCTTTATTTTTGAAATTAAGATTTAAATTTTTATACCTAAAATTATTAACTTTACTAATACTTTTCAAATAATACTATCAGACAATCAATGACCAAATTATAAAGTTAATTGATTATCGATAAATCAATACGGCTAAAAATTAAAATACTATAAAAATAAAATAAAGGACTTACTTTAGTTAGTTAAGTAGAAACATATATATTTTTTGAATTCATAATAAGTTGCTTGCACATTAACCTTATTTCATTTTCAGATTGTAACTATTTTTCTTGAATTAAATTGCTTTTAAATTAAATGGACTTTATTATTATAAAATACCAAGATGGCTTTAATGAAGATGAATTACTATTAGCTTTGATTTAATTAACTTAATAATATATAGCAAAAAATTATTATAATCAACTCTTAAAATTAAACAAATATTTAAAAAAATAAAAAATCTACTAACATACTTTTTATATATCTTTTGGAAGTAAAAATATTTGGAGAATAGGATTAGATCATTAACTAGTTAAGGTTTAATTGAAAGGTTTAAATTATTATAAGAAAATTTAATTAATTCATTCTGGAATGAATAACAATGCTATTTCACTTTATAGTTCAATTTATTTTCAATCTTTATGTAAATTTCATTTAATTTTAGAATCATTTTTAAATACATATAAAAAATTATCGTGTTTTGAAGTAATACTTTAGAATAAATTATATAAACTAAGCAGATAATTGGGATAATCATAAATATCTCAAGGTGGCAATATGTATTCTCTAATTATTATGAAAAGAAATTAACTTATTATGATATTAATTGTTTACTTCATAATTGCATATCATTTATTGGTCTTTAAAAATCCTTAGTTGTTTTTTGTAAAAACCAATTAATACCTTTAATGATCTTTTGAACAACATTATATTGTTACAATATTTGGATGAATATGTAAGTTGGACATTAAATTAACATATCCCTTTAATTTATAATAAAATGCATAAAAAATAAATCAATTTTGATTTGATAACTTTGACTATATTATTTTAGTATGATCAATCATTGAAAGAGATGAATAAGTCATTTAATTATGGATATATTTATTTATATCAAAAAATGAAATAATCTTACAATCTACAAGATGAAACTACATATGCAAATTTGACAATTTATAAAGGTGAAAGATTAAAAAATAATTCATTTTTATAGTACATTTATATTTAGCTTAGCCAGTCAATTCAAGTGTTTTAAGTGCATAATTAATGTGATATTCATCAATTATAGTATTTATTCAGTTTTACACTTTTTCATATAAATCATATCTCTCAAGAATAAATGACTAAACTTTAAAAAATTCTTTTTAACATTATTTATTTTTTATAAGAATATTTAATTAATAAATGATAGGGAGTTCAATTAAAATTAATAATAATTGATTTTTGGTTAAATTTATATTTACAAAGCACACCTTATGACTGCTTAGAATGATAAAGTAGCCTTAAGGCTAGTGAATTTTAGACAGAAGAAATTTTTATTACAATATCTGATTAAATAATTTTGATATAATTTTTTCTGATGAAAAAGTTTATAAATATAGATGTTAATTATATTAATAAAAAATTTGAAATTTCTAAAAGATTCACTTATTGATGAAATCTGATTATGTTTAAAATATATTAGTAAATTTTGCAAAAATAATGATTGTAGATGATATTATTTCGTCTATTTTAATCTAAATTTAGGTTTAATGCAAGCAAAATAATTTTCAATTTAAAATTATTGTCTTTCTTAAAATAATGTCATCATTTACAACTCAAAATTATTATCTTGAATATGAAAAAAGAATTATTATACTTTAAATTGTTATTAATCCAAACAATAATAGAAAATTCTTAAGTATTCTGTCTTTATCAAATAACTCATGAAGTTAATTATTCTAATTTCTATTTATCAAGAAAGAAAGAAAAATGAATTTACCCTATAATAAAAGGATATTTTGGATTACTTTTCATCAATTCCATTAATAGCTATAAAAAGAAATAGTAATTAAAATACCTTATCAATATAAAGTTAATCAATATCCTTCCTTCTTTTTTATAAAATTTATTTATTTACTACAATGAAATTTAATTATGAAAAAATATTTATATAAATTCATATAATCAAAAAATCCCCTAAGCATTCATTAATAAATCTACTTTAAATTTAAAATTTTGAAAAAGCAGGTATAGTATGTATTATTGTAAAATAACAAATA